CTGCTGAATGCCGGAGTCTTTGATCTTGAGTGTGCTAAACTTAAGCGGTCCGTTTAAATGCTGTTTTTATAGGTCATTAGTATCTGGAGCACTCAGCTTTTGCAGTAAAATGTTTAAAGAGCTCGAGCAGAAATATTCCTGCAGGTCCAGACCAGGTCAGGCGTAAATCACAGTGACCTCTCTGATGCGTCATTGTCCTCTCGGCTGCTCCGCAGAAGGCCTGGAATTTTCCAAATCAGAGGATTGCACCACACTTGAGCCTCTCAGCTCGGTCCGACACACAGCGCCACCTGCTGGCAGACAGCTGTCGGTACCTCTATCAGGCATCTAAATATCAAACTATTCCATTCGGAGATATATTTGCACAACTGACTTTAGGATTGCATTGTTGTGCTTCAGTAAAATTGGCACTGATTGGTTCCAGTACACAAGAAATGTTTCAAGGTGAGGTTTTCTGACCGCACCTCCCCGTCTCACTGTCGTGACTTGTCTTTCGTTCATGGGCTCGAGCTGGAGCTGTCAGACGCGGAAGGCTTTAAAGGGTTTTGACAGTTCTGGGGAAATTCTTAAGGGCTATTAGTCTTATTTGAGGCCACTGGGACTTTAGGCAAAAACAAAATCCCCAGAAATGTGGAAAAGATAGAACATCAAGTACAAGTCTCTCTGTTTCTCCTTGTTCTTAACATTGTAGGGAAATGGGAATGTTTTGCATTCTTACCGGCATTCTGTAAAAGAGTCGAGTCATAATCTGCTTTCTTTTTTTTCACCTGCAGGGTGCCAAAGGCTATCCTGGACCAGCAGGTCTGCCCGGAGAACAGGTGAGCGGATGAAACGCATGTCTGGATGTCCGCCTGTTTGTGAGGTCCTCACATTGACATGTTCAACTACCGCTTCAATAATTTAGTGTCCGGGAAGCTGCTTTGAAGCTGTCATTTTTCAGACCACAAGCCATATTTAACTAGTGGTGCTTGCTAAGTCAAGTATCACTGTTATTATTAACTTAAGTAGCTTGACAGTAAAGCTATTTTTAAGTAGCAAGTATTGCATGAATTATTACTAGTGTAAAGCTAGCTGTGATTTGTTAAATAAACTATGCGGATTGTCTTCCTTATGTACCTTCAATAATTAGCTGCTTTCAATTAGCAAATTGTACTATAGCTAAATTTTTCAAAAAGCAGTTTTATTGTAATTGATCTACTTTAAAGGGGTCATATGATACTATTTTAAAGATCATGATTTTGTGTATTTGGTGTAACAGAATATGTTGACATGCTTTAATGTTCAAAAAACACATTATTTTTCAAATACTGTACATTATTGTAGGTCCTCTATGCCCCGCCTCTCTCAAACACGTCGTTTTCAACAAAGCCCCCTCCTTTGACAAGTGCAGTCTGCTCTGATTGGCCAGCTGACCCAGTGCATTGTGATTGGCCGAACACCGCAAGCACACATCGGAAATGTGAACGTCGCACTGAAATACACAGCGTCTCCCTGACATGGCTGCATCAACACTACTGCTGTTCCTGAAACCACGCCTTCTTTCTTTGCGTGCACATTTGGGTGGCATTATGCTAATATTTCCACGTAGTGACGTAGACATGTGGGGGCGTGTTAGAACGAGGCGTTTTAGGTAGGTGTGGTTGACTCTTAACTTTTATAAAGAATATCTCTTTGGATTTGAGACTTTAGTCTTTGCAACTTTACTGATCTTCTTTATGCACCAAGAGCTTGTAACACTCCAAAGAGAAAGGAAAACTTGAAATCGCATCATATGACCCCTTTAATAAAGACGTTAATGCTGCTTGCCCATGCAAAAGCCGCTGCCAAAATACTAGGTGCGTAAATGCTTAGTTGTTCTTTTAGTGCATTGCTATGGAATGATCATCTTGAAAATTACCCTATTTTTTTGCATCTTTGATTCAGTTTTCTGTGTAATATTGATACAGTAAGCAACACCTTAGCATAGCAATGCACTAAAAAACACGGCAGACTATTGCATGGGTAATCACCGCTAACGTTTTCTTTAAAGTAGCCAAATTACAGTCAAGCTGCCTATTGGTAAATAGTTGCTACAAGTTACTTAGAAAAAGTGCTAATGCTATTTAAAATTAATGCAATCTGAACAGTTTAACAAGTCAAAGCAGCATTTATACTAGATTAATTAATTGCTTTACTGTAGTGAAGATATGTAAATGACCTCCGGACCATAAAGCAATACAATTAAAATTCAAACAGATATTAAATATTCATATTTCATAATATTTCACGGTGGTGTCTCTGCTAAACTTTCATAAAATCTAAATTTCACCTTATGTGAGTTTAATAAGGCCACACAACTGTTGAGTTTTATAGATTTTTTGTAATTTCAGGATTTTTCGATAAATTCCCTCAATTTAAGTAGTTCCTGTTAGTAGCAACAGTAAATAAATTAACAAGCTGGCTGCTACATTTAATGCATGTGTGAAATGCAAAATGTATATTTTTTGTCAACACCTGTCAGATTTTCTTTAATAGATGGAGCTGAACATCAGTTTCAAGCATCCTGAAGGTTTTATCATTATATTTAATCTCTCTTTCATATAGCAGCCATCCTGTCGCACATATTTTGCCCATACAATCTGGTTTAATTCTCTCTCCATCCCTCCCTGCATGTTTGACATGGCATTAAACAGATCTATGAGTTGTACGTTTGTACCTCCTCAATAACTAAGTCCAGAAGGTTTGGAACTCAATACATGGAAAGTTTCATTCAGTCACAAAGCACAGTCTTTATATGCAGTCATCTGATGCAAAGATGATCCGCGCTGGAGTCGCGCAGCAGAGAGGAGCCGCCGTCTGGACTTCAGCCAGGGTCAGGCCGCGGAGAGCCGCTCCGGCCCGTGGGTGCTTTGAGAAAGAGATGCCACAGGGAACAATAGCGGCTCTATTCGTCTACTGGCAGCCGCTCTCATCTCTCATTCACGTTTTTCCTTCTTTTCTCCTCAGGGTTTGCCGGGATTGCCGGGCATATCTGGGGCGGCAGGTTACCCTGGCAGGCAGGTGCAGTGACCAATATCCACTAAAAAACAAGAAAAACTGTGTTACTTCATCTTGTTCCAAAATTTGAAATATTAAGCTTGATTCTAAATTTAAATGTAATATCAGGCAGCTGTTCAGAATGTACTGCGCCGTATACTGTGCATTGCCAAGTATTTTTAAAAGTAGTTTGTGAAACAGTACACAATATGCAATGATAAACATTTTAAAGCAAGGTGAATCGGGTAAAGATGAAACTAATATAAATCACCATACTTCCCCAACTGATTAATATCAGGACTTTAAGACTATTGTTCTAGTCTGCGTACATTTACAGGACATAAATCTGAACATTGGATAAAGCCAGTTTCAAAATTCTAGCTTGATTTCGTTGACATATTAGAGTTAAAGGTTTTTACTGAGGGTATTTTGGAATTCTCTTTTTATCACTCCATAAATCAGAAAATACTGTCAGCAGCCAGAAATTTTTTTTTTTTTTATAAAGATATGGATTGTAATTGAAATCTACAGACGCAAATAGATAAAGTTCAATAAAATAAACACTTGTGTTGTAGATGTTTTCTTTCCAAGTTGCTGTTTTTTGCTGTTTTTATCACTCTTCTGAGGAAGATGTCCTTCACTTGTTTTGGCAATGAGAAATTTTGGTCAGATTTGTTTAATGTTCATCCAGTCTCATTTTGTAAGTGACTTTTCTTTCTGTTTTAAAGAAGTTTTCTTTGGATTGTTTGACTACTCAAAAGAGAACATAGGAAAATATAACTTCATTCATTTGTGTTTCCTGCTAGCTAAATTTCCCAAGTTGATCTAGACAAGTACATGGAAACTATCCAAACCTCTGTTAATCCTAAAGCAGTCAAAACTGCATCTCTGTATTCATCACATGTGTCTTCTTAAGGTGTTAGTTCACGATACGCGCTACGAAGTCCCGATCTGAGGCAAATGATTTGCGAACCCGCTGCGAAGTCCCGTTCTGAATCAAATGATTCACGATATGCGATCCGATAAGATGCGGCCGAAATTACATATACGGTTACATATATGGTTACATATACATTTAATTGTTTGATCAAAATTATTGCTAGGGACAGTTTAGTCCTGAGTACAGAGATGAAAACAACCCCCAAAAAAATCAAAAGAAAATTTTGATTTTGTATTTTAAAAAAGGACTTTTGTAAGATTTTGTCTTTTTTTTCTTTTATTTATTTATTAATTAACATTTGTGTTTTTATAGCAATTAAGCACATTTAATTTTTTCATTTTGATTTTATGGTAAAATATGACCTGGACGTGTTTTTTGCAGGATTCTTGATGTCTGTTGTGTGTATGTGTCATGTGTAACGTGATCATGTGTAACGTTGATGTCTTTTGTCTTGCAGGGTTTGGCAGGACCGGAGGGAAACCCTGGACCTAAAGGTGTCAATGTACGTACAGCAGCCGTCTCATGGTTTCCTGTCAAAATATAGTGACTGAACTCTTACATCATCTCACTGAGAGCCACAAGAGCAGATAACAAAGAGAGAGATATATAGAGGATCTCTGGGAAGTTGAAAGGAGAATGAAGAGAAGATCAGATCCTTGCAAATTATTTTTGCATTTGTTGTTGCTGTTGACCCGTACAACAGTGAAGAAAAAACACATTTTGGGGCAAAATAGAAGAAACGGGTAGTTGCACCCAAAAGTTGGTAAATACATCTGAACATGTAGAACAGATTCTCATCTCAATTCTCATCTTAAAATTATTCCATGATGCATGACCTTTTATTTTTGCAGTCCTCTAGCCTGTTTTGTCCCAGTACTCAAGAATCAGTGAGCTGTCCAAAGTCAAGATGCGACTGCTGCATCTCAGAGATGTTGCCTTTTTCAGAAACGCAAGTCCTTTCAACATCTGGCAGTGTGCCATGGCACAGGAATGTGCAGAGACGGGAGGAGGGCCATTTCTTTCATCTCTGACCGATAGTACATGTTATCTCACTTAACAATAAGAAGAATGGCACATATAGCACTCAACAGCAAACAAAAACACAAGCAATAGCTCACACGCCACACTGAATGATTTGTGTCCAGTGTGTTAAATAAAGCGTGTGAAAAAAATGACGTTATCACACCTGATGCTGACATGAGCATATTGTTCTGTGTGTTATTGAAGGAAGTAAGCTGCATTATGTGTACATTACTTGTAAATCAATGAGATCGAAAGCAATCTACAGTTTTAAAAGGTGACAGATAAAATGAGGACGATAAATGAGGCTGTATCTTGTCATTCAAAGTGAATCTGTGTTAATAATCTGGTGAGGAAATAAGATCAGTCGAGTTTTTAGCAAGTAATTTTGAAATCAAAATACAGCAATCTGAAATTATGTGGCTAGACAACCCAATGGTATCAATACTGTAAGTAGGTTTGTTCAGTCATAGCATAGGTGGAGATTTTAGGCTCATGGCTTATTAAAAATTCAGTTTTTCTTTTCCAGTAGGTGGCACTGTCTCTTAACTTCTCTTGTACCATCAGGGCATGGAGTCGATGACTTGCACCAAATTTCGTTCCAATATACCAAAGCATTTCACAGATACAGCCTTGCGTCTTGTTCTTTGCCATTGAATTTATTCATGCATTATTCGTAAATGGTACATCAGAGCACTCTTAACAACTTTTGACCGGCATGGTATCAGGATAATCTGAACACAATTTGGGGACACTCTGATGAAAGATGTTGTGTAGGAGGAGTTTGACAAATGTACTGTAAACATGTGGTTTTGATCTATCGGTGACGTGTGTCTGTTTTTCTGTATCAGGGCTTCATCGGACCTCCAGGAGTTGCAGGACCGCCAGGACTGGAGGGAGAGCGAGTAAGTTCAAATGCGCAGTTATACATTATAATTTCATAATAATGCAAATGAGATGCAAGGAACAAGCATATGCCGTTAGCATTAATTTAAGAAAAGAAGCATGCTGTTGATTGCTACAAAAATTATTTTTGAATCATCCCTCAGTTTGTAAAATGACAGAAGTATGTTTACAGTAATGCACTTACAATGAATATGTAGTGGGCCAGCATGCAGTGATGTGAAAAACCTCTAAAATATGCAACTAGCTTAAATATTACGTTAACCTGAGACTGGTGTGAAACCAACCCGTCTCATATGAGGACCAGATAAAACCTGTTTATGCTGGTCAGTTTAGCTGTGTATCAGTGGTATAGTACATGCAGCAAACTTCACTCTCAGAAATTACAGTCATACATTTATGCATTTGACAGACACTTTTATCCAAATCGACTTGCATTGCATGAAAATTTTTCGTGTTCATGCATTCCATGTGAATCGAACCCATGTTAGTGGCATTACAAGCGTCATGCTCTGCTGTTTGAGCTACAGTACTATTATAGTTTTAAATATATTGAATTATCAATTTAATTTTAGTTTTATTTTTAGTAATTTTGTTCTGTGCTTTTTTCATTATTATTATAATTTTTTTTTTTTTAATATTAACAAATATTTTTTGATTGATTGATCGATTTAGTACTTAAACTAAATGAAACCTGAAATATTGCCTTGGCAACTAACTGGTAAGTTTTCCATCTAATGTGTACAGTATATTTCATTATTTATGTCAATTATTTATTTCAGTTAACATATGTTTTTAATAGTTTTTATTTTATTTGACTATACGTTTATATATTTTTAAAGTTTTTTTTTTACATTTTTTAAATTAAGTTTAAATTTATTCATCCTAGAAAAGTAATTCCACCTCAAAAGGATGTTTTAAACAATTAACAGAGCAAATAGGAAGCATTTTTACTAAATAATTTATGTTTCTCCTCCTGCACACTTGCCCTATAAACATCCATTGTAAATATGTTACTGTAAAAGCATGTTTCACTCACTTTAGATACTGATGGATGAGTCAAAATGATCACAGGCTCCAGATGCTGTTTATATCCAACAGTATTCTTTTAATATCAGCATAATGGCAGTTTCGTCCGGACATGTTAGACTGACAAACACGCATGGGCTGTTTAGGCCCGAACATTGTGTTGAGAGTTGCTGCGATCTGACAGACTGAAATTCCCAAATGAATGACATGAGCTGGAAAACACGCAAGACAACAGCGTCGAGCTGGATGACGCCCCCCGGCTCAGTGTGATCAATGTGTGTCAGATCGGATCGTTTGGTAACTGCCATCGTCTCGATGTGTTCCAGGGAATTCCGGGTCCTGTGGGAATCAAGGGTCCCAAAGGAAGACAGGTAAACGCTCCCTCATTCATAAGCTGTCTTCAGGGGATATTATGCAAATGAGTGATGCATTTTTAAAACGGATGACGTTACTTGTGGGTAAAGAAAAGTCAGGAAAATGAACAAAGAATCTGTTCTTGTCATCTGCCGTCCAGCTGTAAAGCCGACAGCATTGTCCTGGTGGAAGATGTTATGCAACGTATAAAAGTCTGCATTAGTACAGAAACATTGCTTTACTTCTAAAAGGGGTCGTGAGGGTAAATGTTCTGCAGCATAAAAATAAATAAATAAATATATAAACATGTAATTCTGCAAGTTATTGTACAAAAGTGATGAACCAGGACACTTTACAATTATCTGCATTGATCGACATTTTACGATTAGCATCAATAACACATTTTTTTCTTGTGTTATTGATGTTTTCAAGTTCAAGTAAATATTATATGAAATAAGTGTTTTATTTAGATTCAGCAATTTTATGTACATTTTATTTACTACCATTAAATCATATAATGATAATAATCATCATAATAATAATCACAATCATAATAATCATAATAATGCATTTATTAAAAATTAAGTCATCTCTTAAAATAATGAATTAATTATTTGTAATGATGTCATTTTTGAATATTTGACATTTAGGTTCAGCAATTTTATGTACATCTTATCTTCTACCATTAAATCACATAATAATAATAATAATAATAATAATAATAATATCTAATTAAATAGTTAATTGATTATACTTATTTAATTTTATGTAACATCTAGGTTCTTAAATTCTATTCACATCTTATTTTCTATCATTAAATAATAATAATAATAATAATAATAATAATAAATTATTTAATAATTAATTAATTGTTTGCAATGATTTAATTTTTAAATATTTAACTTTTAGATTCAGCAATTTTATGTACATCTTATTTTCTACCATTAAATCATATTCTAGTACTACTACTACTAACTTATTAAATAATTAATTATTCTTAATAATTTATTTATTTAATATTTAATATTTAATATTTAGGTTCAGCAATTCTATGTACATTGGATCATATATATAAAAAAATAATAATAACAAAATAAGTAAATAAATAAATGTATAAATACAACTATTATAATAATAAAAAGAATGAGTTAATAATAAGAATAAATAAATAATTATAATAATAAAAATAATTAATTAATAATAATAATCTTGAAGATTGATTTTCTATAGATTTCTATTGATTGTTTATAGATATCAGCATCAGCCATTAAGAAATCATATTGGTCGGCCACGATTGTATAAGTCTACAGCTTTTAACCAGGGGTTTTCAGACATTTAATAAATCGCTCCTTGATTCTCAGAGATTCTTCATAAAGTCACTCTCCACTTCTTGAAACTGTCGAGAGCAGCTCATTTTGGTTTAGTTTTGGGAAGCGTTGGTCCTGAGAAAGCCCTCAAACGTACGAGCCTGCTAAAATCACAACATGGATCGTGTGCCAGCTGGGCTCCTGCCCGCCGTCTGCAGCAGAATGATTAATCACAGGCATCTCCAGCGCGGATGAAAGCTTGCTGGAAGACGTTCAGAGGCCCCTGGGCTCTCAAAGACACAAGCAAGCATGCAGACGCTCTCCTGAACTGCAAACCGCTGCCATTTACACAGCAGATCCTTTACAGTAACATGCACTGATCAGGAGATAGTTAAATAACTACAAGACCAGACTGACACCCAAACAAAGCGTTCAGATGTGTGATCTGCCCTAATGGAAAAGCGCTGTGTGTCTGATGTGAGACTGATGCAGTGTTTTCGCAGGGTGTTGTTGGCGATGTGGGAGAGCGAGGGCCGCCCGGACCGGATGGAAACGAGGTATGAGTCTCGCTGCCATCAGATAAACACTGTTATATAGAATTAAGATGTGTTTATTTCACTGGGACTTCACAAGAGATTCGGACAATAGATCTATATTCATATTTTCATTTATGGAAAACCAAAGAGCACCATACATTGTTTTTGGACAGTAGTACAAATGTGTGCATAAATTATTGAAATTAATGTATTAAAATTATGTGTTAATAATTAATGAATTATTTGATTTATAATGATTTAATTTTTAAATATTTAACATTTAGGTTCAGCAATTTATAAACATCCTGTTTTTCTGTTATATAGTAATAATAATTGGTCATATTGGGCGATTGTACAAGTCTATGGTTTTTAATATATAATAATTATGTATTATGTATATATTCAGTACCATAATATATGCACTGCCGTTCAAATGATTGGGGAGAATAAATAAGTAAGACCAAATAATATTAATTAAATTAGATTAAATAATAATAATGAATTATTTTATTCACTAAGGATGCATTAAAATTAAAAAGTGACAGTAAAGGCTCCTATTCCTATTACATTGGTATTTCAAATAAATGCTGTTCTTTTGAACTTTCTATTCATCTGTTAATCCTGAAAAATAAAATGCATCACTGTTTCCAGAAAAATATGATTCAGCACAACTGTTTTCAACATTGATAATAATCCGAAATGTTTCTTGAGCAGCAAATCAGCATATTAGAATGATTTCTGAAGATCATGTGACACTGAAGACTGGAGTAATGATGCTGAAAATACAGCTGCGCATCACAGAAATAAATTACAGTTTAACATATATTCACATAGAAAACAGCTGTTTTAAATTCTAAAAATATTTCACAATATTTACTGTAATTTTAATCATATAAATGCAGCCTTGGTGAGCAGAAGAGACTTCTTTTAGAAACATTACAAATCTTACCGACCCTAAACTTTTAAACGGTAGTGCATCAAAGCACCTTCGTAAAAATCCTAAAATAAAGAAATAAATATTTGTATCGGAATTTTAACCTTATCCTAAAGTATTCTAAATTTCTTCCATTATAAAAGTCATTAGTGTGTCTTTTATGAATTTAAAGAAAATCTTTCTGAATTATAAAAGGCCTAAACTTCCCATATAATGTAAAGAAGCATGTACATCCCTTATTTTATTCATTTAGATGCTTTTTTTTAGTTCCATTAAAACTGATTCCAAATTATGACAGAAATTCCATCAGAAGCCCATATTTTGGCTATAGATTTGCTTCCTCTGGATGTTTTTGCAGGAATGTTATTGTACGAAAACCGCTTACAGCTGTAGAGATCTTTGATGTCTTCAGCCCAAAATCAGTGTGTTAAAAACAAAGAAAGCCTCGTGATCTGAATGCACTGTGGGATTTGTGACGTGTTTGGTGGATGTGCTTGTGTTTCAGGGGCCCGTTGGAGGAACCGGCAGCAGTGGATTCCCAGGCCTGAGAGTGAGTCCTTACACACACATACAAACACAGACGGGTAAACCAGCTTCAGCGTCTGATGTCTGATATTACTGCATATAACACAGGCTTACAGCAGCGATTGAGGGCTGCTTTGAATTCTCTGTTCACCCGTTCTGTCCTCCATTCTTCAAACAAAAACATGTTCTTCTCCCTAATGTTTAGGAGAAAAGTTTTCTAAAAAAAACTGCTGTCTTTCAATACCAGACACAAATATACTGTGTACTTCTGTCTATCTATCTGTCTGTCTATCTATCTATCTATCTATCTATCTATCTATCTATCTATCTATCTGTCTGTCTGTCTCTGTCTGTCTGTCTCTGTCTGTCTGTCTGTCTATCTATCTATCTATCTGTCTGTCTATCCGTCTATCCGTCTATCTATCTATAAAACCAATAAAATGGTGAAATTACTAAAGCTAACTCAAAAATCTATCTCATTTATATTCAAATAATTCTATTAATAATTCCATTATATAATAATAATAATACTGTCATATGACTTGTCAAATATTGATGATGATTTTACTGGAGATATAATGCAATGATTGTAATGTTTCATGCAGCTTTAATTTGGCCATTAAGTTTCCAAAAGACAGTCTTCAATTTCTCATTTTCATTTAGATTAACTTGATGTACTAAAATAAGTAAAACTAAAATAAAAATTTGCTAAATTATCTGTATTTAAAGACTATAATAGTACCTCAGTGATGCTAAAATAGCACTGGCGGTAGGTAGGGGAGAGCGGGGCACAATCTAACACTTTTTGATTTCTCAGGTTGTGTAAATCCACATGGGGTTCAGAGTATGATTTATTATCCACATTAATTTTACACTTGTCTTGTACAAATATGTCATTTTGTTTCTTAATTACAGTGTATACGTTTTTCTTTATTTACCCCTAAATAATGGAAGTGAAATGTGACAACATGCCCCGTAGGTGGGGCACATTGTAACATCTGAGGGGCATGTTGTAGCATGACCATAAGACAGCTTAAAATGTTATCTGATCTAATGAAAAAATAATTTAAGAAGAATTTAAAACTGGTTAGTGTCTTCTCCTAGTTAGCAAAGCATTAAAGAACTATCTAACCTGATCAATAACAGATTGGAGATTAAAATAATAGCAGATTTCTCTCATTTTAATTGAATACTAAAAACTGAGATGAAAAATTTGCTTCAGTCAGAAATGTACATTTGCTATGGTAAAATAAATGTTCAGCGATATCTTCAAAAGATTTTTGAATTTTGCCACACTTTTTTCTCTATATAGTGTTAATGTGGCAACTAGTAAATGCTGTCAATTTTGTTATGCAAGCGTGTGTGGAAATATTTAAAGTTAGTTTGTGCCCCGCGCACCCCTAATGCAATGTGCTTGGTTGACTTCATGCTGACGCTGAGTGACTGTGATCCCAGCTGCTTTCTGTCTCTTTCATCTCTCCTGCAAAAGCAGATTTTGGCCAAAAGCAGCCGTTTATCAGCAGATCTCTGCTCCTGAACTGTTGAGGATTATTAATATCCTCTTGGCAGGAGCTGCTGGCGGGACTCAACTCTGTACAGTAGCAGAACAAGCTGCTGAAAACCGGCCCAAAGACCTCCGAAAAACCCAAGAACTGATTCGGAGTCCGATTTCATATTCATGTGCAACATTACTAGGCAAACGTAAACAACAAAAGTTATGCAGCATATTGTTACTTAGCAGAAGAATAGTTTGTCCTGGTTATTAATGTTAATAAATGGAACCGCTTATTTGCAAGTGATTTTACTTTATGCACCGAATCTAATATTGTGCTGACAAGTAAAAAACGGCTAAAAACTACAAAAGCTGTTTTATAAAAAAAACACATCTTTTTAAGATCTTTTACGTTTTTATTATTTGTATTTATTTATTGTGTAGTATTTGTATTTCTTGCATGGTTTTGGGTATGAGAAAAGCACATTATAAATAAAAAATTATTATTATTCGTAGTAGTAGTAGTAGTAGTATTAAACTGCTAAAATAAATCCTGTACCAGTTTAAACTGGTTTGCTGGTCTTAGCTGGTCTCCCAATCTGGTCAGGCTGGTCTATCGAGGTTTTGAGGGGTTTGGTGCTGTAGACCAGTATGGAATGCCAGCAAACTGGTTTAAACTGGTTTAAGCAGGGGTTTTTTCCCCCGAGAACAAAACTAATCTAATGAAATGCCATCATGCCAAATTAAAGGTGCATTAAAATCATCACAGTCGCAATCTTCATATTATATCTCCACTCCAGCAAAATCACCATCAATATTTGGCAAGTCATGTGACATTTTAGTGTAATTGAGATACTATTATACTTTTTTTTATTTTATTTTTTTTTTTTTTTTTTGAAGCATAGGTAATTGTGACTTTTTTTCCTCACAATTTCGTGATATAAACTTGCACTTGTGGGTTATAAAGTAATAAATGCGAGATATAAACTCATAATAGTGAGGAAAAAAGTCAGAATTGTGAAATGAAAAGTTATTATTTTCAAATTTTTTTCTGTTGCAGAAACAAGCTTTCATAGTTTTTAATCAATATTTTGAATTTATTTTTGTATTTACATTTTATTTATTTTTATATTTAATTTAGATTTTTCATAATTTTTTAGTTTTTCGTATATGTCTATATATTAAAGTTTTAGTTAGTTTTTGCCTATTTTATTTCAATTAACAAAATTTTGTTTTGTTTTTTAATGGTTCCAGCTTTGGTTTTAGTTTTATTATGTAAATATATAGTTCAGTCATGAAACTCTAGATGGCGCATTCTGACAGGGTGTTAACGTAACTGATGATATTCAGAGAGTTAAACGACTTGGCACAAGCTGATTGGTTCATGCTGCATATGCAGCCAATGAGCTTACTGCCTTGCATTTATATAGCTGGCTAGCATTCACTTGAGATTCCTGCAGCGCGCTTTCAGAGTTCTCTGAAACCCTCCACCTTCCCCAGCTCCACCTGTATAGACCTGCTTCGGGTTATTTTATATGCTATTTGTGCAGCAGCAGCATGTCTTAAATACTCATGGCACCGAATCGCCGTATGCACTGGCAGTAGCAAGTTCCTGTACTTGCTTGCAGCAGCAGCAATAATCTACAACTACAGCAATAACCAACAGCAGCAGCAATTCAGCAGCAGCGTAGCAGATCT